CAAAGCCAAAGAATAGCACGATTCAAAGCTTGCAAACGACGACTACAGACCATGAGAAGAGGTCGTTTTATGTCAAGAATTCTATGAAGAATGTTAACAATACACAGCACATGATAAAAGACAATATTGAAGTAACTTTGGAACACCATAACATGGCTCATGCCAGCCCGCATCTCCATCCTGTGTTGTTTTGAGACTCTAAATTTCATGAAATGCAGCTTGAATCTACCCCAGAAGGATGGGATTAACTAATTGTCAATAAATGGAGATATTTGAGATTGTAGCATGACAATTTACCCCATGAAGGATAAGGTACAAATGCATAAACATCATTTCACCAATCGCAGGTGGACAGCAATGAACAAAGACTTTGTTAGCTGGCCAATGAAAAAGAAAACAACAAGCTTCGGAGAAGTAAGCAATTAGCAACAATTTCCTTGTTTGTGTATAAAAACAAAATTTTTGTTAATAAGATTATGCTGAAAAGGTAAAGTGCAACAAAAGATGTAATTGTTACTTGGTTATTTTGCAGTACCCAATTAGCAAGATCAGCAATATGCAATAGTTTCCTAGGAGGTGAATTTTAACTTTACAAATTCAACGTCGCAAATGTGAAAACCGAGCTTATCAAATCAGAAACCTATATGACAACATTCAAAGGATATTATCACACTAATAAACTGATAGAAAATCGAAGAGATTGTCATCATGCATCCTTGTATACTAATTTTCAGGTGAAATCTACAGCTCAGATAGGATAAGCACAGGAGTTAGTCTTTCATAGTTATGGTATGACTAGCAGTGCATACCCCCCTCTGCAGAGCCTCATCAAGATCAGAAGTGATATCATTACAACGCAAGTGCATCAAACAACTCTGCATCAAGGTAACATACAGACAAATCAGCTGGTACGTATTTGATTAATAGAGGAAGAACCTAACAAGCATACAGAAAGTAGATTCAATTGAGAAAACTACACTCACAAGCATTCGGGAATGTGCTGTTGAGACCAGTTCAGGTGTTGGATCTTCCCAAGCATCAAAACTTCCTCAGTACAATCCAATTGGTCCACGAGCCTCTTCAAGGTTGGCACACAAGATGGCCCTCGGCTGTTGCAGATTCTTCCTCTGCAAAATTCCCCTTCATTTTGATTGGGCTCTGGTATGAAGTTCCTTTGCCAAGTTAGCCAGACCCAGATCAATCATGCAATAAAACGATTCCATGACAACAATAGTATCAAAGGGTATGAAAACTAATTAGCAAATTATTGAGCTCCTCGCCCCAGCTTGTTTCACAGAACGGGCAAAATGTTGTCCCAATTATGCACAAGATTATCGATACAACTCATTGAATTGAAGTCTCAAAGTAAACCCCAGTCATTACATTTTGATCTTGGCTGAAGCATCATGTCAGCTTCTATGATCAACTCCCCCACTCCTTCAACTATGTAAGACTAGCAATTTAGGAAAGTACAGAACCTGTCATGGAAAACCTTCTCGTCAAAAGAAGATAGTGATGAAAAGTAGGTCATGAATTTCGGAAGAAAAATTATTTTTCACTGCTTATTTACCTCTGTTGAGGAAACATGACTTATGCTGAACTTACACATAAAGAACCACCTGCACATGCTGTCTTCCTGCAAGCGAGTTGTGATTTGGCCATTGCTGAAGAATGGCACGATGCCAAAGCTTGCAAAGGACTAAAACACCACATGAGTAGAGGTCGCTTTATATCAAGAATCCTTTGAAGAGTATTAACAACACGGAGCACATGATAAAAGCCAATAGCAAGGAACTTTGGAATGCCTTTCCACAATGACATGGCTCATTCTTGCCCGTATCTCCATCCTGTGGTGTTTGGGGACTATCTCTGAGTGACAAAAATACAGCTTGAATCTACACAAGAAGAATAGCACTGACTAATTATCAGTAAATGAAAAAAACTGACATCATAGCATCAAAATTTACCCCATGAAAGATAAGATACAATTGCCTAAACATCATTTACGCCAATCGTAGTTGGACCAAAATGAACAAAGACTTCATTAGCTGGCCGATGAAAAAGAAAACAACTGACTTGGGAGAAGTAAGCAATTAGCAACACTTTCCTTGTTTGTGTTTAGGAACAGAATTGATGTTAATAAAATTATGTTGAAAAGGTGAAGTGCCTAAACTACGGAATAGAAAGACGTATTTGTTACTTGGTTATTGGCAATATCCAATCAGCAAAATCACCAATACGGGATAATTTGCGAGGAGGTCAATTTTAACTTTACGAATTCAATGCCGCATACATGAGAATTGAGCTTATCAAATCAGAAACCTATATGACAACATTCAAAGGAAATTATCACACAAATAAACTGATAGAAATGGAGGAGCCTATTAGTGCATACCTCCCTCTGTAGAGCCTCATTGAGTTGAGGAGTGATATCAGTAGAATGCAACTGCATCAAACAACGCTGCATCAGGGTAACAAACAAAAATATCAGTGGCTACATATTTCATAGACAGAGAGGTAGAACGTAATGAGCATACAGAAAGCATATTAAATTTGAAAAACTACATTTACTATCATTCAGGTATGTGATGTTGAGACCAGATCAAGTGGTTTGGATCTTCACAAGCATCAAAACTTCCTCAGGACACTCCAGTTAGCCCACGAGCCTCTTCAAGGTTAGAACACAAGATGGTGCTCAGCTGTTGCTGATGCTTCCTCTGCAAAATCCCATTTCTTCATTTTGATCGGTCTCAGGTATGGAAGTTGAAGGTCCCCAGCCAAGTTAGCCACACCCAAATCAATCATGTGACAAAACAATTCCATGACAACAATAGGATCATATGGGATGTAAACTGATTAGCAAATTCTTGAGCTCCTCGCCCCAGCCTGTTTCACAGACGGGCAAAAAATTGTCCAATTAGGCAAAAGGTCATCAACACAGCTTATTGAATTGAAGTCCCAAAATAAGCCTTGATCATCACATAAGACGAACCAAACCTGTCATAAAAGTAGCACTGGTTTACCTTGCTTGATAATCTTTCAAAACAACAGTGTGACTACTGACAATGTTAAGGTGGTCTATAATCATATATGATAGAGTTGCAAAAACTAATTTTACATTTTTTTTTATCACCAACCTGAAACACTTGAACCTCGAATTTTATTTTACCTTGGCTCCTCATAGTTACTGGGAATTGATGCCCTTCTTAGAAGGTTTAAGGGTAACATCAAGGGAACAATAAGAAACTTGACAGGGTTTTTGTTCATCACAGAAAATTTAAAGGTGTTTGTCCCCAAAATCAATCAAATAGATACCCAGTGTGGAGCAAACCATTCTTAAAAAATAGAGCTTCGAGAAAGGTATTTACTCTATTCCCTCACGCTGGCCGTTCAAGGATGAAGAATCTTACTAGATGACCAATGCCTTCTATTGACATTTGGGTCTACATTTTGATCTTGGTTGAAGCATCATGTCAGCTTCCACGACCAACTACCCTGCTCCTTCAATTATGTAAGACTAGCAATTCAGGAAAGTGCAGAACCCTGTCATGGAAAACCATCTTGTCAAAAGAAGATAGCAATGAAAAGTAGGACATGAATATTAGAAGAAAAATGATAGTTTACTGATTATTTACCTCTGTCAAAAAAACATGACTTGTCTCACTGTTGGCATGCAAGATGGTCCTCAGCTGTTGCTGATGCTTCCTCTGCAAAATCCCTTCTTTTCATTTTGATCGGTCTCAAATCTGGAATTTGAAGTTTCTCAGCCAAGTGAGCCACACCCAAATCAGTCATGTGATAAAACAATTCCATGACAATAATAGGATCAAATGGGATGTAAACTAATTAGCAAATTCTTGAGCTCCTCGCACTAGCTTGTTTCACAGATGGGCAAAAAATTGTCCAATTATGCAAAAGATAATCAATACAGCTGATTGAATTGAAGTCCCAAAGTAAGCCTTGATCGTTACATAGACCAACCAAAACTGTCACAGAAGCAAGCACCAGTTTACCTCGCTTGATAATATTTCAAAACAACAGTTTGATTACTGGTAATGTTAAGGGGGTGTACATTCATATATGACAGACTAGCTAAAACTGCTTTAACATTTTTTTTTTATCACCAACCAGAAACATTTGAACCTTATATTTTATTTTAGCTCAGTTCATCATACTTACTGGGAATTGATGCCCTTCTTAGAAGGTTCAAGAGCAACATAAAGGGAACATTAAGAAACTTGACGGGGTTTTCGTTCATCACAAAAAACCGAAAGGCGTTTGTCCCAAACAGGACATATGCCATTAGTCAAATTTGACACAAGACAACTCACAAAGGAACTCAAGATGGCCAAGGATTTTTTCAAAGAAAATATGAATTTTGGACAGGGAAAATCTGGGCGTAATTTACAATATTGAGTAGCAGAAGATCATTAGCCTCTAGGTGAAAATTTCAAATCCCAAGTTTACAGAGAGGGAAACTGTAAATCACTAGGGAATTCTTGATTACCTGCGTTTGATATTTTCACCCTTGCCTCACAAGCAGCTAATCTGTTTGTAGTCTACAAAAGCTGCCAATGGAAGGATAAATGAAATACATTGCCACAATGTATCGAACAGCAATATATGTAGGCAAATCCAGAGTTTCCAAAATCAATCAAATAGATACCCGGTGTGGAGCAAATCATTCTTAAAAAATAGAGCTTCGAGTAAAGTATTACTCTATTCGCTCATGCTGGCCGTTCAAGGATGAAGAATCTTACTAGATGACCAATGCCTTCTATTGACATTTGGGTCTACATTTTGATCTTGGCTGAAGCATCATGTCAGCTTCTATGACCAACTCCCCCACTCCTTCAATTATGTAAGACTAGCAATTTAGGAAAGTACAGAACCTGTCATGGAAAACATTCTTGTCAAAAGAAGATAGTGATGAAAAGTAGGTCATGAATCTCAGAAGAAAAATGATTGTTCACTGCTTATTTACCTCTGTCAAGAAAACATCAATCACTCTCTGTTGAGGAATCATCACAGCGTGAGTCGTAAGACAGCTCTTCTTCATAATTTCTAAAGATGCGTGTTCTGGATAATTTCGGTATTGCTTCCAATGAGTAACAACCAGAGATATTCAAATCAATTAAATCCAACTTTTCAAATCCCCCAAGCTGAGTAAGTTTCTTGCAGTTTCGAACATTTAGAGATCGCAATTTCTCACATCCCGTCAAATTTGGCAACATCTCCATTGATTCGCATCCCGTAAAATCCAACTCTTCTAAGAATTTGGCACCATCAAGACCTCGAATTTCAACTAGATTGTTGCACTTGACAGCCACTAATTTCTTCAAACACCATGATTTTGGACAGAGAAGCCTTTTAATGGAATTGCAGTCATATATAAATATGCCCTCCAAGAACTCCAAATTATCACTGCCCTGAATTTCGACTAGGCTATCGCAGCGCATAGCACGTAATCGTTTCAAACAAATTAATTGTGAAAGGTCCAATCTTTCAATTGAATTGCACTTTTTTATTGAAAACATTTCCAAGTTCTTCAATCCGTCGAGCTTAAGCAATATCAGCTTACCACATTCCTCAATACAGAGTTTCAAGAGTCTTGAGGGAAGCTCGGGGATGTCTTCAAGTAGATGGCATGCCCAAAGATGGAGTTTTTCTAGGTGGATTAGGCTAGAAAGCTGTGGCAGCGACCGGTGCTTGCGACAGCCCCATAGGTAAAGGCGCTGGAGAGAAGAAAGATCCCCAATAGCACTAGGAAGCTTTTCAAGCCCAGAACGACTCAAGCTCAGGTGTTGCAAATTCTGTAAATCCCCAATTGAGCTAGGGATTTCTCTCAGTGACTTACAACGGTAGGCACTCAGTGTCTTCAGCTTCCTTAGATAACCAATAGACGTAGGGATATTTGTAATACCAGAATCATCTAATACAAGTTCTTCTAAATCTTTTAATTCGCCCACTTCCTCTGGTAGCTCCTTGAGACTTTCACATTCATGCAAGTCCAAGGAAACGAGGCTCTTGAGTTTGCCAACAGAAGGGTGGAGATGCTCCAGTTTGCGACAACCTCTCAAGGTGAGGATCTTCAACTGCGTGAAAGCTGAGAGATCAGGAGTACATCTGAAACCATTACACCATCTAAGGTCGAGAACTAGTAGCCGCTTTGCCGTCTACACAAAAAGAGGAGAATAAAGCTGTCAAAAGAATGAGAGTGGGGGATCGGCTAAACAAAAACAAAACACCATCTTAAATCACGGAGAGAGGGAGGATGTCTCTTTCCCCCCCCCCCCCCCCAATCTTACCATGAATGTACTCCATCCTTCCCAATCCTCTGTGATCGAGTTCTCTGATAAATCCAGCACCGATAATTTCGGTAGATTGGTTGTTAGAAGAGACAGATCGACTCCCGCGACCCACAATTGAAGCCATCTTATTTCAGAAAGGAGTTCGTTGGAGTCTCCCCTTAAAGCTGCCCTCGTCCAGTCATCGAACCAGGGTCCAGGACCAAAACTCCCCAACTGTATCAAATCAATCCGTAGAAAGTGTAAATTGACTTTTTAACTTTTCAATTTTTGCTTCTTTTTTTAAATCTTGGATTTGCACGATTTGTTGTCATTCTATACTTCCCTTGTATATAAATATGGACACGTGAACTCACCTTTAAATTTTTTTTTCGACGACCTTTTGAAATTTTTGAAAATAAAGACAAAATATTTATTTCTTTAAAACAATTAAGGCAAATGTACCTCAATGCTTTATCTTTTGCTTTTTTTCAAATTTTGTAGCTCGTGCACTGACTTTTATCTAAGACGAAATACATGAAACCATTTTACAACATACAAATGTTTGCTTGTAAATTTTCATATGACTTGTGTGTAATTTTTCAAAAGAATTTGTTAAAAAATGTTAGTGGGCCACCTGTAAGTAGCTAAGGAACCACCCGATTTTCATTTCATTAACTATTTTTGTAAAGTGTTTAACCATTTCTTTGGAATCTGAAACGTTTTTTTTTCTTTATAGTATGTTTAAAAAGTGATGTGGTGACATTGGTTAGCAATACACGTTTTAGATTTTGCATGAGAATGATGCCGTTTCTTTTTGCATCTTATAAGTCAAAACATGCTGTTTAACTTTCATGCTAAAACAGATCGTTTAATTAGTTGAAGACGGTGAAAAAAAATCCCATGTGGCTCTGATTGACTTTAAAAATAATACCTATATTTTCCCCCAAAAGTTCAATTGATTGGAATTGTTTTTTTGGTTGGTTTGATTCACTTTTACGATTTGACTCGTTTGTCGTTATCTCTACTTTATATATTAAATAATGAAAAATCAACAATGGGTATAATTTCTCTTAAGTTTGTTCGTAGGAAAAGTCACCAAATTGTTGTAATCAGCATTCCACGCTATATTTCATTATTTTCGCTTGTTCATCAATCTATACAATATATTACATTAATAAATCTCTTATATGGAAAGGGGATATGAAACCTCAAACTTTCGTCAAAAGTTTCCACACAATTCGCATATTTTTCACCAATATGAACCAAAGTAATAGGATATAACAAGATAAACAGAATCATATTTTAAATAGTCGAGACAATTGGAAATTAGTCCCATAAGTAATCCATCTCCAAAGTTAAATAAAAATTTCTTGCATCGCACAGCCATTTAATTTTTTTTCCAACAACAATTATCATCGTTCAACATTTCTGTCTTTTCAAAACAAATTTCACTTTTATTTTTTATTTTTCAAACACCCATATGGTGTGCTCTTTTTGCTAATGTTAAAAAATTATTGGATCGACAAAAGAGTGTGATATTGAATCATGGGAACGAACTATTTCAAATTATATCAAGAATATAAAGCTGTTTCCATTGCCCAACATCTCTTGGTTCATTGCTAGGGTAATTCCTTGCTATTGATCAGTCATGAGCCTATGAGGCATCCCAAATGGATAATATATAATAATAAAATGACACGAATATTGATAATTTAAGGAAAAGAGAAACATAGTTGAAAAAATTGGCTTATGCTGAAAATCATATATAATGAATACAAAGGTACGGATATAATAATATGCACGACATTTCCTCTAATTAGTCGAGTTTTCTTTTTCTTAATAGTCAAGTTAGTATAGATGTTTCTGGCACGAAAGAGACATTGTCCCAAAAAATATAAATAATACAAAACAACTTATAGCAGATAGAAATGTTTGTTATTAGAAAATCCACTCTTTATCACACACCTTACCTAATCCATGAATTGAGCAAGGCCTACGGGATAAAACCTTAAAAAATAGCAAGATTTTCCTAAAAATATTTTTAAGGGGATTTTTGCTATCTTATCTATTAAGAGGAAAGAAGGATGAAAAGAGATAGAAACAACTAGTAGAGGGACGGGTATCTTCAATATCAAAATGGAGAAAAAAATGTCAAACATTGGATTCCTAGATCACACGACCACCACAATACAATACATTCGGCTGTACTAGATAGCAAGTGCATGTGAGAAGTGTGAAAATTTTCCAATCTTATTGTTTTGAATTAATTACCAGTTATTACAATAGGCACATACTATCTTTTTTTTTACCAAGAAATGTTCATTTATTTGATCTATATGTTTATACTTCATCTCCATTCATTATTGTAGTCCTTCGGATTATCAATATTTTCAACTAGATATGACAATTACATGCTTTTGGTAAACGAGATTTATAGTGTTAAATTATAGTTACAGGATCTTGAATTGAATGTCAATCAAATTTTTACAGATGTCATTTATATCAATGAAATCAAATCAAATGATATAACTTTTTCATCCTTGAGATACTTATAATTTATTTTGCTATCACAATTAATCTACGATGGACAAAAATGGATGTTTAAATATAATTTTTTTCCTAGAAAGAGCATCTTTTCATGCTCGATGAAATATTAGGATACATCATATTAAATATATTAAAATAAGAGGGAGAGAAAAAGAAAGGAGTGCATGTTTTACCCATTGATGTCCTAGTGCTCTTGTGATTCCATTGTAGTCGCGGTCCCATGGCCCACTACGTTTCTCAAGCAGTTGTTCTTGGCAAAAAATACTCCTTCCAAGATCTATCAGTTGATCATGTATCATAAACTTACCATTATCTCCAATTTTAATTAAGCACCTCAACTTCAACTCTTCAATTCCTTGACTTGGATAAAACCCACAGTCCTCCCACATGTACATGGCGTACTTGCGCCTTTCCTTGCTACTCTCTTCTCCAATAAAGAAACAAACAATATCAAGAAAAATATGCTTATGTCCATCTTCTAATGCATCGTAACTTATTCGCAATATCTTTTGGACATCTCTATGCGGTTGGCTTTTTAATTGCTTTTGCACATCTTCCCATACTTTTCGATTCGTTTTTTTATACAAATATGAACCAACAACTTCAAGTGCCAAGGGAAGCCCACCCATGGTGGATATGATATCACGAGATACACCCTCAAAATCCCTCAAAGAATGGTCCGTACGAAATGCGTGTCTGTTAAACAGAAGCAAAGCATGCTCCTCATCCAATTCATTCAATTCGTACTTGTAGACTACCTCGAATTCAGATTGATCAAGAACGGCTTCATTTCTAGTTGTAACAATGATGATACTTCCTGCCATAAACCAATTACACTCCCTAGCCAGTGCATCTAGTTGATCGTTGGCATCTATATCATCCAGAAGAATGAGGACCTTTTTTCCTCTGAATCTTGATTTGATTATATTAATTCCAACGTCAACATTCCAAACTTCAAGTTCGATTTGCAGAATTTCCTTAATTAGTTGCTTTTGTAAATACGGAATACTGTTGCGGCAAGCTGTTTCTCGAATATCTGCAAGGAAGCTGCGATGCACAAAGTCATTCGACAGCCGGTTATAGATTACCTTGGCAAGTGTCGTTTTTCCGATCCCGCCCATGCCATAGATTCCAATCATTCGAGCATTAGTGGTAGGAGTGTCTACCCAATTCCTGATTTTGTTCACATGATCACCAATTCCAACCAAGCGCTTACTAACATCAAGATGAAAATCTTGTTGCAACTCGCTCAGTACCTTTTTCTTAACTTTTTCCACTAATTCTCCTTCATGCCTGTCCAACAACAAAACTCAATTGATAATTTCATAATTATACTTAATCTCATCAAAAGACACCGACATACATGTGAAGGATGGATGGGGCCAATTAACATGCAAGATGTTTTGGTTTCACAAATAACAATGGGGGATGACAGCTAGTGGCCGTTTCATTTTTTTCTCTGTCGTTAGATGAATCTTGTTGGAATAGAATAAGACGGTGAACCTGGCTCGTTAAGAGTCTTTAGAAGTATACTACATGTTATAAGGCTTAAGATTGCTGCTAGTTGAATGATAGGAGATCGATTTTTTTTATTAAAAAAAGTTAGGAGAAAAGGAGGTTACTCCACTCTAAGGCTAGGGCAGCACACATGTCTAAATTGAGGAGATTTACAGATCGCTACCAATGGGGTTTAGTGATAGTGGAAATCAAACATAGACATGGTAAATGAGAAGTAAGTGTCTTGTCCTTTTCAACTGAGCCGACTTTCGTTGGCATGAGGAGGTCTATTGTATCTGGGGGTGATAAAGCTTTGGAAGATTGAGCAGTCGAGTCCTTTCTAAGCGTATTGTTTGGTGAATGATACTATTGACTGGAGGGGTTGTCATTCCTTTGATTTTCGCTCCGTTGGAAACCATTGTGATTCATCTGTTTCGCGTGAACACGAAAACTCACTTATCAAAAAAGAAAAGTTCAGGCGGAAGCAAAGTACCCGTTAGCAACTTTCTCGGATTCCCATCCATGTAAGTCACTCACTTCTCTAAGTGCTCGCTGCCCTTCCTGGATATCCTTCTCATCAAAATGCTTTTTACGCGAATGGAATGCCTCCCCAAAACTTCCTTTTAGATACCGCACATCCGATGGGTCCACTTTGTAAAAGATAGGCAACACTGTGTGTGATGTGCTCTTCTTGCGGTCCATGATATGAATGAGCTCGCGGAGGCACCATTTGCTCGAAGCATAATTTTCAGAGATGATGGGGATCGAAATCTTAGACCGTGTGATGGCATCAAGAATCTCTGATCCAAAATCCTCACCAATTGGTATGCTGTTATCGTCCCTGAACACGCAAATCGGGACAGTCCCTGCCTTGATCAAACTATGGTAGAGGTGATCGGTGAATGCCTTGCGGGTATCCGAGCCTCTAAAGCTCAAGAACACGTCGTATTGACCCCTGCCTACATCTGTGGGTACCGAAGAGATGAACGAAGAAGTGGATGCTCCCTCAATGCTCTCTTCCTCCGCTCTCTTTCTCTGACTCTGCCCTTTGTCCATGGTGATCTCAGGGGGAAAGTTGAAACGAAGAGATGCTTTTCTGCTGCTTAAAAGGATTGACGAACAATGAAATATGCTTTTAGGATGCTTTTCTGCAAATGCTTGTTGGCTTGGTCCACTCTAGATAACGTGGACCTCAATTTCCCCCCTAGGCAATGCTGAAGAAGGTTCGTGTTCCCGAGAAAGGCCTTCGGTTGAGTTAGCGACGTTGTTTCATCAGCGAATATTAGGTGGCCGTGAAGAGGCCCCCAAAAAGCCCCCATCATTTACTTCTTCAGAAACACATTTGAAATTAAACATATTGAAGTGTAATTAGTCGACTTCCTTAAAACACATTTGAACGACTACATAACTTTACGCACGCCTATGATATTTAAAGACAGATTCTTTCAGTTCACACCTAAGATATTCAAATTATGTACAAAATCCATGGAAGCATCTTCTTATGAATATAAGCTCACACAATGCCTAATCCTTATCATAATCCGAGACCTTACTCTTATTATTTTTAGCCTAATATGTAAACAACCCTAACTATCTCCACCGCCTCATTTTCACAACCCTTCTGTCTAATCCCATTTCCATTGGCCAAACTTATGTAGTGTCGTTTGATTGTTGCCCAATAAACCTCATCCTCTAGATGTGTGCACTTTCCTAATTGGAGGAAATTTTTATCAATCACGTTTTTAATTTGGCGGGATTCAAGTTTCAAGCATCGCTGATATGTAAAATTAACTAAAGCTAAAATATTAATCGAGGAAAAATTTTCAAATTACTCAGCTATTTAAATTATGAAGGAAGTCAATGAAAATCATTCTAAATGAAAGGGAAACACTTCCTTTTGGGCCCACATTTTATTTCTTTCTAAAAGTGCATAGAAATGAGAGGTAATGCAAAAATTGTACTTTTCTTACAAAATTGGCCTTACTTCCTTTTAAAAGTGAATAAAATGAAGGATAATTAAGTCTATCAAAGAAATTAAGTTCCATTTACATCATTTCCACCCAACATGTATCCCAACATATATTGATTTTAACTTTCCCTCTCTTCTTTCGTGGTTTGCTTGTTTTTTTGTTCTTAATTTTTAGATTTTGAAATTTATGGCTTTAGTTTGTTCGAAATTTGGGGCTTTTTGTGTGATAAAATTTTATGACTCTTAAATAGGATTAATGTTAATACAAAAGGCTGCGTCTCACTAGTAATTAGAATATCACGGGGAGCAATTTTGCTCTTTGCTTTAGATGTAATGCAATGTGTTGCGTCTTTTTGCATGTACACAGGTTAGCATACTGCATGGTGTCATGTTGACATTTCATATGGTGACACATTTAATAATCGCATTTGTCGTGTTGTCATCTGACCTTCTTTATTAAAAGTGTCGTGTTCGTATTGTGGCAATTCAACGCGTTTACTAAACATTTCTTGTTCAGGTTTTGCCATATTTGTGTTATATCCTAACTGACATGACACAATTAATATGACACGACATGAATTGTCAACCGTATCTTTAGTAACATGATCGCTCACAAAAACAATGAAAAAAAAGAATGTCCAAAGTCTTTGAAATTTCATGATTCACTTGATTTTGTTTTGTTCTCTCTCTCTCTCTCTCTCTCTCTCTCTCCTATGTTCTTTTCTCTTTTTGCGTGAATGTTGCTTCTCTATTCGTTTCAGGTCGGTTGCTTCACTTCTTTATGTTTTGGTTCAAATTTGGTGATTTAATATTTTAATTTTATTTAAAATATTCTTAATGAAATTGGAAATGCGAGGTAGAGATGAACGAATGGTCGTTGTTATTTCTCTCTTATTTATTTCGTGCTGGCCCCACATGCCAATAATTTTATATAGGACAAATTTATGATACCATGTTACCGAGCTGTTCACTTCAAACTTTCAAATTTAAATTATCGTTTGATATATTGTCCACGAAATAGAGCTATAATTTGTTAAATGACACCAAATGAGCATGACGCGTTAGTATTAAGTTACTAATGATATATGAAATACTTGTATACTATCCTTGAGTTCTTTTCCGGGCCATTTTTTTATTACAATTTTGTTGGCATATCATTCAGCTCTTGTAAAGTCAGTAAAACAATGAAAATAGAAGTATGCGAAATATTCAAAAAAATAAAAGATTATTTAGGGAAAAAAATAGAAAAGAAGGGAATGAAGTGCCTGGGCTTACTTTTAGAGGTAACATCCAAATGGCTTTTGAATCATGAATTCATGACACATAGAAACCTTCTTGAACATGAATTGAAAGTGAAAAAAGGGAATGAAGTCGGAACGAAAGATGCTATTCTGCTGCATAAAAGGATCGATGAACTAATCTCTATGAACAAGTATGAACATGAATTTGTTACCAAGCAAGAAAAAAATGAACATGAAATCTTTAATTAATTAGTAATTGATTGACTAGGAGCAGTTGCAGATGTTTTTAGTCCTCGCCTTATCTTCTTTTGGACCTCACCCTATTCAAGTCAAGCCAGTTGGCTTGATCCACTCACGAGTAACGTGTGCGTTTTTCAATTGGGCTATAAGAATGTGTACAAGTATACTGCGTTCAATTAAAAATTTAAAGCATACGTACAGTTTCTTATTTGGTTATTGAAAATTGGAATTCAATAAATCACTTAAAAGATAATGATTGAGTTGAAACGGAATTAGAAACGTGTGAAAGACGTCGAGAGAGGACCGAGCTAGTAATTATGGATGTGATTTTATATTCTAATTTTGTTTAAAATTGCCATATTCTTAATGAAGTTGGAAATGTGAGGTAGAGATAAACAAAATGCCTGTGGTTAGTTATCTTTTATCTATTCCATGCCGGCACCACATGGTACAATTCCATGTAAAATGAATTTCTTTTGAACTGGTATTTAATCACTGAGCCTTTCGTTTCAAATTTTCAAATCTAAAAGGTTGATTGATATTTTATCTGTAAAAGGAAGCTGCTGAGGAAAATTTTAGAGACGACCAAGGTTTGAAACAATGGCGTCGAGTGCTTGTCCCCATTTTTGTTGGAGTGCCCACCTTGAGAATATCACCGCAAAGATTCTTTATCCAATTAAATGGAAGTAGATTAGGATTATCAGCTAAATTCGTGATAAGTCAGGTTAAAATTGATAAATCACATTTGGAAGAACGAATTTATTGTTTGTAACAAAAGAGGTGTAAGAAATGAGTGATGTAAAGCTAGGTGAATCTCCTAATATGCATGTATGGCTCGATTTATTTGATTGTTTTCATGTGTCATAAGATCAACTAGGTTTTTTTTTTTTCTTACTATTGGATATCATGTAAAAGGTCTTAAGAAGTATCATGCTATGGATTTTGGTATGTTTCATATTGTGATGATTGAAACTATCATGAGTTGAGAGCAGGTAAAAAGTAGCAACATAGTTAAAATGCTTAAACTTTCACCGTACGTCTTAAGTTTTTTTTTTCTTGCTATTGGAGAAAATGAGTTTTTTCTTTTTCTCTTTTTTTTTACTAAAGAAGGGAGAAAATGAGTTAGAGGTGAAAGGGAATATACTTTCTAGGATTAATGGTCCAACAATTCAAGGAAAACATAATATTTCTCATTTGGAATTTTTTATAGGGAGGTAAAATTGTCTAATGAAATCTCCTTAAGAGAAGACTTACTCTTAGGATGATTAGTTTCAGAATGAGTAGGTCTTAAACAAAGCATCAAGAACTTATCCTGTAATAATCGGTGCTCCGTGTTTGTAACCGAGAACCAAACTAGTTGACCCTCAAACCAGCCTACTTTTATTTTTCTGATTTATTTTTCTATAAATTAATCTAGGACCTTCAAACACAAAGAAACCTCACAACGCATAAAAAATAATGGTCTCTGGATTCAAGTGAAGTGTGGCAATTTTGCGCGCAATAGAATCTAGTGCACTTGCAGACCTCCTCGTTCTAGTTCAACGAAAGATCAAATACTGAATTACGATGCAACTAACAATCAGCCAGCAAGGCCATCATAGGATTAGCCACATCTAAAGTCGAAAACAAAAGGCTTTCTTTTTGCACCGAAGTAAAATCTGAGCTGGGGACATACCTCGTTGACAGGCAACAGCGGCTCCAAAAGAGAGAATATAAGACCCTCCTCTGCTATTCAGCGGCCACCCCGACGTCCCCAATAGACAAAAAGGGCCCAGAACACACTTAGTTCAGCCGATTATTCCGATAACAAAGCGACAGAATCAACAGAAATGACACGCTAGTAAGGGATGAAAAAGTGATTACCTCCTGCGAGCTGAGATGCAAAGAGAGGCGCGAGATCGGGGAGAGGAGACCCTGAACAAGCCTGGGCGAGAACTTTGAAGAGGGAAAAGAACAGAGAAAGTGCGTGAGGACTAATCAGTAGACGATAGTCTCGAATGGTTTCTGCAAGAGAGAGGCCGAATGCGAAAAATAAAGTGAGAAAAGAGAGAGAGAGAGACCGTAGTAGACGATAAGTCTCGAATTATTATTGACGGACAGGTATCCCTCTATTGCTGATTGACTGGTAGCAATGAAGTTGTTTTCAGATGGCAAGCCAAAGTCAAGCCACACAATGTGGACCAGAGTACGGAATGACCACTTCTGTTCATATCCACACTTTAAAAACCATTTTGTTAAACAGATAAATGTGGCTCTAACCGGCTTGTGAATCTTCCATTATATCATTCATTATCAAAGTCGTTCTTACTTCCTGTACATACTACATTCTCCTCCCCCGCCCTAAACATGCACAAATTGTATTGTCAAATCTGTCGTAGGTCAGTAACTTTCTACGCTATATATACACACGTGAAAGTCACGTCTTTGCCGTAAGTAGTTAAATTGTGTGAAAACCACACTCTATGACAAGTTTCTGTTATTCAATCTGCAAAGATAAAGTCCACCTAAAAATTGTCCACATATTAAATATGTGTAAGTGCAATGAAACCAGCAGCTTTGCTCACTTTCAAGTTTTCCATTGTAACCAGCACAAAAAAAATAGTACAATTGTGAATTTTTCATAATTTCCGAAAAACATTTGAATTTTCTGTCATTTTCCAGAAATTACGAAAATTGCCAATATAATGGAAAATGGTTTTATGGACATCCAAAAATTCTCTAGTTGATCTGATCTGTTCAGATAAATATTTTTTGTTGACAATTCTGATCCATACCTTTGAAAGGTTTTGTGCGATTATTGAAGC